ATGTACCCGTGTACTACTGAAAAGGAAAAAGTAAAAAAAAAAAAAATGCCTGACTGAACCAAAACACGGAGCTCGACCTCCTCTCACCTGTTTAGGTTGTGGTCCACAAATAAGCACCTGGTGGCTGGATGCGGCCCACGGGCCACCATTTGAGAACCACTGTTCTACACTGTTTCCTTCATCTCACTTAACTGCATCTGCTCTCTCTCTCTCTCTTTTATTATAGGTGTTAAAAGTCGGGGGCGTGGAAAAAAGAAGTGTACAATTTCCTGAGGTGAAGCGGCCACTGTCCACAAGAGTGCAGTCACGTCACCATTACGTACATGGACTGGAGTGATTGAATTACACCTCACGTCGAACATTGTTTTTGTTTTTTTTCTGCCCAGTGCCTGTAACAACGACCATTGAATGTTCAACCAATCAGGTACTGGCGTTTATCTGTGTCTTTAGCGTCTGTTAAAAGAGTTTTTTCCTGGTGATCACTGAACACCACAGCCTTTCTGGGGCTTTAAACACAGTGGGTTTCATGCTCCCTCTAGTGGACGTGTTGGTGCACACGTTGTAAAGCGTGTTTTTACAAGTTTTTTTTTTTTTACAGGTTTAGAAAAATAATGAATTTAGAAGAAGAAAAGACTCAGTGAATCACGGTGTGAATCACAGTGTGAATGGTGTGAACAACTGGAGTCTTTAAAGAATACTACGGGGAAAAAAAGTGCCTTGTTAACGCTGTGTTAGCCACTTTAACATTTGTTTTGTTTTAAGTTTTTTTATTTTTATATTGACACACAGCACTATCAGGGCTGGCCTTCAGGGACCAATCAGGGTCTAATCCCCCCCCACCTACCCCCCCTCCCTGATGGACTCTGAAGATCCAGACCTGAATGAAAAACCACTGTGAACACAAACAGCGTTGCAGCAGTTTTAGACCTGAAGTGTTGCTTCTTCTTCTTCTCTCTCGTATTTCCAGTACATCTGTTTTTTCTCGGCAGAAAACATATCTTACAGTGTTGCCTTCAAATGCTACAAGTTCTTGGGACAAATGGGAATAATCAATAGATGGACGGCTGGATCCATGGAAAGGTTTGTTGTTTTAAACACGTTTAAACTGTTGACACGTCTCTGTTTTTTTTGTTTGTTTGTTTGTTTTTTGTAACGACTTCTCATTTTTAATTGTGTCCTGTTTCATTGAACTTCAGGTTTGTTCGTTCTTATGTTTTTACTTTTGATCAACAAAACCCAACAGTTACTAATTGTTAATGTGAGTCAAAGACTTTCTCTTCCTGTTGTCATTTAAAGTTCAGTGTTCTACTAAAAAAAAAAAATTCAAGCCTAAATATTAAAGTCCAGTCAAACTGCCCGGCACGGTCGTCCATGTTTCTCTTCACTGCCTAAACCCACCACTACATGTCTCACTTCTCACACACTCCAACAGAAACCAAAGGCCTGATGGGAACTCGAGGGTCGGGCTGGTGGCGTAGGTGGGGAGATAAAGACGAGGGATTGCAAACCAAACCTGTCGCAACAGCGAAACACGAAGTCAGAGCTGCAACAGGAAGTGACACTCTTAAATTACTTCAGTGACGAGTTTAGCCGCAGCAGCACAGAGTTGGTGTTTCCTGTGCTTCTATGATCACAGTGATGCTTCTACGTGGGGCTGTTTTTTCATCCTCACAGTTTCTGGAAACACCAGTTAAATCTAACCTGGGACCAGTGACTTTTATCGTGTACAAAAATAGATTTTTTTTTTCTTTGTTTTTGGCAATCAGCGTAGGCAAAGGAGGTCACGACGTAGGCAGAGTACGGCTACACTGAAGATTAACCAAACTCACCTCCAGAGCTGCTGAGCGCCTGCTGAAGGACTAGGTCTTTTTCTGGCAGTAAATGTCATCAGGTGGAGTCAAAACACAAAACACATCTGTCTGAACAACGGTGGTGTAGTTGTTTAGCCCAAATTCACAAAACACATCTGTCTGAACAACGGTTTGAAAAATTAGAAATAAAATGACATTTTTCTCCTAAACTAACACAAAGAGAGGAGTGGAGGAGTTTATTTACCAGTTCACCACAGACCAGGCAGGAACAGAGACGAAACCAGGCAGAGCACAGAGTAGGGTAGAGGTACTTATATACCCCGGCCACCAGGTGACATGAGTGAGACTGACAGACAGGTAACGACAGGGACCAGGTGAGTGTGATGTCACTGATTAACCCCAGAGAGTCACAATGTTTTTATGTCCATGTTTTTCCCCTTTGTTTTCATGCAAAGAAGTACAAGAATATTAGATATTTATTATTATTATTTATTGGTGTTTAATGAAATATTAATACATTTACAAAAAAAAATATATGTGATGTTTATATATATTTTTTTATTTTCAAACTTTCATCAAGGGGGCCCGCAATAACCTCCCCGCCCCCTCGCCCCCTCGACCTCTTTGGGCCGGTTTTATGTTCAGCACCACAGCTTAAAGTGAAACAGAGAAAATGTTTTTGTTTTGGTCACTGCTGGACCAATCAGCTTATTTGGTTTAAACATAGAAACCTCAGCTCAGAGCACTGAAGCAACAGTTTTCACAAAGCACCTCAGTGCACACAGTACACGAAGTACACACTGTGTACAACACAAATGAGGAAGTAAGATGTGATCTCATGGTCTCACAGGAAGTAAAAAAAACATCTGCTGAAAGAAGTTCTTTTTATTGCCTAATTTAAAAAAAAACTAAACATGATTTGATGTTAAACACTGAATGTGTTGTTCAGAAGTCGATGACTCAGAAGGTGTTTCAACATACGGGTCTCGTTACAAAATCCCAGAATTACTTATTGCATTTATTGCACCACAATATGAAAATATGAAAAAAAAGTAGTTTTATTTGTATAAAACAACAACGCTGCATTTATAACATCATACATTAAAAACCAGGCCGTATATATTTACAGATATATTTACAACTTTATACAACTGATCTGAGTTCAGATCGCGGTGCATTTGTAATTCAGTTTTAAACCGACTTTGAGAAGTGAAAACCTGATTTGTCGTACAAATGTCTCTGTTTCTGACACTCGATATATTTTATATACAACATATTTATTTATTTATTTACTTCCTGCACCAACAAACCCTGAGAAGACGTTTCTTCAGCACAGACCACAGATGTGACTCACCCCTTCACTCACCCCTGACTCAGATCTGTGCACAGACAAGTGGAAAGAGACCCGACCCCCCCCCCGCCCCCCCACCCGCCCTCTGGCCG